GATGTAATGTTAAGCCCCTTAAGACATTTTTATCTGAATAAGCAGCCTGCTCATTTTTACATAAAAGTCAAGATGGCAATCTTACTGGTAACATTTCTTTATCACTTTCAACACAAGACTGATTTAAATGCAGATGAATGTAAAGGCAACAGCAGCACAAGTTAAAACACGCAGAGAGATTGAATGGGTCCTGTTCCACCTTCTAACATCACTGTAATGAATTTATTATCTCAAACATCTCTTGTGTACAAAATCAGTTTAATAAAATAGCTAACGGTCTGAAAGAGAAGTTTAAGCTGTAGAGGATTCAGTATGAAATCAATTTTCTTCTCACAGTTCAACTAAGACAAAATAAGTTAAAATAAACCTCCTACAATAACAGTTATAATCAGAGCTGCAAGCCTACTTTATATTTTCAGTATTTATTAATGCCAACTTGAATACACAAGTATCCAGATACATTTGTTTTAATACAGCATGTGAGCTAATAAAATATATGCAAGATGCAAAGGTCTGTCATTCAGTGCTTGTGTACTGTAGGATATTATAAAAAAGGGCAGCAGAAGTCACTCTCTAATGACTTTAATGATGATGAATTAGTGTGAGGGGGTTGAGCATCCATTGTGCTTATTAATTAAGGCTTCAATGACAAAATATGTTTTAAAGTCCAGCAGCCTGTGAATGAACCAAAAAAACAACCTATCTCCTTTTTATTATAACATTTTTAACTCTTGTTCACAAGGTCCCGAATATCACATGAACACTGTGTCTGTTAATGTGCTGTCACTAGGATCGAGCGAATACACCATTACCTGTATCTGTTCAACCAAGTAAATTATCTATACTCGAACTCAGAATTGGTGGTGATTAAACGGATGTGGGTGGTGCTTAAACCAGAAGTGGGTGGGAGTAAGTTCATTTAAGCCTGAAATTAATACACTTTGATCATAAGTTTCTATATTTATTGGAAAACTATTTACAGAACAGCCTCAGAATTGAGCTTCAGAGAAAGGTTTTGATGAATAGAATAAGATAACTATTATATTCTTATAGTCTCTATCTCTATAATAGAGACATTTTACTCTGATGATAAAAAGTACATTATCCGTACAGGACACTCATTTCAGCCAAATACTCGCTCAACCTGAACAGTCATGTCTCAATGAAGCCGTAAGAAACATTAATGTGGTGGGGTGCAGCTAGTGACAGCTGGGTGATGAATACTGAAATGTTATTATGTAAGTGCCTGGTGAACAAACAAAAAATCAAAATACTCTTATTGATCCTTTAAAAAATCCCAAGTGTATTTATAATAAGTATTCGCTTTTTTTATATATTAATATTAATATCTATCCATGCTGTTGAAAATGTTGCTGCATTGATCCATATGAACTGCAGATGTCAGAACATTTGGAACGTTATGGATTTCAGATTAAGGTTGAGTATAAAAGCTATATTATCTGTAATGTTTTAAGGTACAAGCTTATTAAAAATCATTAAAACTTTTCACTCCCTCCATACATTTAGCAGCTTGCCATGAGGGATATGTTTTTGCTATGTGGATATGATCATAATACAATAACGCCTTTGTTATGTGCTTTACAAACAGGGAAGGGCTGTAAGTTTGATCTCTTATGTGTTTAAATTGGAGAGGCAATAAAGATATCTGGTTCCTTCTTGGTAAACCTCCAGGAGACTATAATGTGCACACTCATCCTGCTTCATCTCCCACTACAGTACGTCGTATATCACTCAAATAAAGATGTGAAAGGATTTATTGGAGTCTCACTGTAAACAAATGGTGCTACTGCAGTAGTTCACAAGTCACTGAGCAGGAAATTAGGATCTGCTGATTCAGACGAAAGTAACAACTCAAACGTCATTGACTTTGTGGTATTTGAGTGAGTACATTTTGGGTTCATAAAGGTGATTCAGTTCTTTAGTTAATTAAGTTTTTCCCGTTCAGACACAGGATTTTTTTGCACTTTGAGTTATGTTTCTAAACCAACCCACTGAATCCAGTTGCCAGATGTAATGAGGGATGCCTTTGGGATTTGGGGGGCAACAGTACATTTCCCTTGCATGTCGTTCCCCATTTCTACCTCCCCTCATCTCCTGTCTGCTCTCTACTCAATATTAAGGGCATAACATGCTCATACAAACACTTCACAAAAGAAAGTTTTATTTAATTTGTTTTATTTTAATGAGTCTGTTTTGTGACTTGTGGTTGGAAAGAAATGAAATACAGTCTCTATTTCTCTGTTCTCAGTTTGTTTTGGAATTTTCAACAGACACCTGGAGGCACCATAATGCCTATATATTATGGGTCTATCTGGTCATAAATGAAACGCAATGCAATCAGTCTGTCACTGAAGAAAGCGATGTAATGAATTTATAATTCTGTCTCACACACCTGTATGGAGACAGCTGGCAGGTGTAAAATAGGATCACACCACATGGGACATATTTAATCTTTCATATCAGACTAGACTCACCAGCTGATCTGTCCAGTGGAAAGAGAAAACTTTTAAAACTTAACATTTTCTCCAGCAAAGAATAAGCACTGTACGTCCTCAAAGTGTTGTAAAAGCCACAACTTTATAAAAAAAATAAGAATAAGACAAATTAACTCATCAACTGAATTATCAGAACATCCCACGACTGCCAGAAAAACACACTTTGACCCTCCATTTAGAGGGAAGAATTTCAAAGGGCTAAATTGCAAAACACTGTATTTCATTCCCATGTGGTCACTTCATCTCCCCAGGATGGAGATGATGGGATCAAAGACAAATCCGTCCATTTAAAGCTCTGCATTTTTATTTCCACTTAAAACAGCCCATAAAGTGTGTGTGTGTGTGTGTGTGTGTGTGTGTGTGTGTGTGTGTGTGTGCCTACATGTGTGCAAGTGATCCATTTTATATACTTCAAGAGCCTGCTAATGAGCTTTCAAGGCGCTGGTATTGATTCAATTAAAGATAAAATTTACTGAAGAGAAACAGTGGTTCAGTCACAGTATTTAATGAACTAACAAGACCGCTCTTTCTGTGAATTGGCATAGATCATGTAATATGAATTTAAGAGACTTTATTTGTTAAAAGTTGAGCTTTTCACCGAAATCTCTTGAAATTAATCCACTGATACTGAAAGGAAACAGAGCAGTGTCATGATGTAGTTAATGGAAAGTTTAAAGGGAGGTAACGCTGTAACAGTACTGATAATCACTGAACTGAACTGCACTGAATTGTGCATTAAATGAATTTGGGAAAACAGGAGGGACAGTGTTCATGACCACATAATGCTGAATAGTGCACAAACCCTAAGGCACTGATGTTACTTAGGGGACTTTTGTCATTTTCCCTCAGGTTCAACTAGTGTCTTAATGTGCCTAACCCTCAATATCAGCCATGTTTTCAAGTTGAATATCTGCACATTTACTTAGTTTCTCCTCCATCATCCAAACTGAAGCTTCCCTTGGGTCAAAAAGTTTTCTTATGGCAGCTGCTTATTCTTTGTGACTGCTCATTATTGCCACCCCTGCAGAATCCCAGTAAATATCTCTGCAGTGTGGTACAGTCAATATAAGAATGGCTGAGTTTATAATCCATGGCATTTCCAAGATTTGTCTCTGCAGGTAGTTCCCTTAACTTTTGGAAATAAGTGGAGTTTATTGCAAACTGACAAATAGTTGTCAACAACCACGTTTCTGCAGCCTAATAACTTAATAGCCCCCACTTCAAGAGGAGGAAGACATATCAGCTGATAGTTGCAGTTTTCTACATTATTCTGCTTGAATCTGTGACATCATTTTAAAACTACAACCTGAGCAGAGTCGGCATTTCTAAGTTACCACTAACGCTATAGTTGTGTCTCGGACAACTTTATCTTACTCTGTATGCCGAACAAAGACAGGACTTTCACCCAGGAGACTGCGGTTTGTTTCCTGTGTGAAACAAAAGGTAAACATTGACTTATTTCAAAGAACAACTGTGTACGATTCAGTGGCATATTGCAACTCTCTCGCTTCACCCTCTCTTTCAAGCATGAATTGCGAAGCGGAGCTGCGAAATTAGAGCCATTGTTTGGTTTGTCCATTCAGAAACACAGCAGTTGAACATATCAGACTCACAACTGTCTGTAGATAATAAAATGCTCATTCTAAGGTAACACAAACACAACAAATGTTATTTTCAGATGTTAATACACTAATGAAGACACACTATGTGTTACTATGTTACATTTCTGTGAATAGACCATCCTAAATGTTACAAACTGGACCTTTAAGTTACATATATAGGAGAAGTCGCAAAACACAAGTTATTTCAGGTACATAATGTAACCAAAGTGGCACCATTTCTCGTCAATTGGAAAATCTAACTAGACACTGCACATTTATTATTGCTAACTTGACCACCCTGCACATCCAGAAATGAAACTAGAGGGGTAGCCTACCTAGAGAGACACATTCTGGAGTAGGGCCACTGACTTATTTGAGGAGTTGGGATTTAGAACATGTTAAAAAGACCAGCTGGTTTGGGTGCAGTGTCCCTTTAACGTCAGGACTCTGAAATTAAAATAAAAGACCTGGGATTATCTCATCTCAGATGGATTTAATCAGATCAGTAACTTCAGAACTCAAATTGAGTTTTCCACATATTTCTTTCAAATTATCATTAGGCTACTTATACTGGCGAGCCACTTAACCAGATTAGACACTTCTAATCTTTTTTTTTCTGTGGGACCATCTTAAACTGTCTGGGGCCTCTGGGAGTTCTCTGCACCCGATTTTGAGAACTTCTGCTCTATTTACTGTAACAGTAGTGGGGCGGACTGTCAAAAGAAATCCACCGAATTACTTGGAAACACACGCCTGCGGTTGCAGTCGATTAAATACTCTGTCAGTGTGTGTGTGTGTGTGTGTGTGTGTGTGTGTGTTTGTGTTTGTGTGTGTGTGTGTGGAGGGGCGCACAGAGGAGGCTCATCCGTGGCAGCCAGTCCCATCAAGACCTCCGAGAAACGCAGATTTGAATGCAACTTGTTGACGTCTCTGTGATCTCTCCCGGCGCAGAGTGGATCGCATCAGCACTGAGAAGCCCCAGTGTCTCCGTCCGGGGGTTTAATTGTTGATGGAGACAATGAGAGCCTTGATGCATCAGATGGAGCTTCACACTTGTTTTTCCTTTCTTTTTTTTCTTTTTTTTTTACACTTTTCACACATTCTGCCCGCTGAACTCTGGAAAAAGAAATTTTTGAAGTAACTGTTGTCAAGTCGTTTAGTGAGCGGGATTCCATAAATTCGAGTCGCTCAAGTTTGCGGGACAACTGAAATGACCGGTTTTAAATGCTTAACAGAGACAAATGCGCTCTACCTGTTCGAAGAACCAATCGCAATTAACAGCAACACCTACAGAAACTGTGGCTGGTTCCCTCAACGTAACCCGTCCGTCTTTCATTTGTCCGTACTGGACGTGCGTAAATGAAGGACGCCGCTGCCGGGATTCCCTGATTGCCTTTGTGCACCGCTTTTGTTAAAGAGAAAGAGGAGAGAAAATCGTCAATATGAAGGAAAAAGACATGGTAAGTCTTATTTGTATTGTAATTGTACTTGTTTTAAACAACCATTCCTCGAGTCCGTGTTTGTTACCATTACGCACGGATCTGAGGGCGCAGAGCAGATGATATTAGTTTTAATTCCAAGTCGATACGGAGTCAGCATTGAAGTATAGTCGGTGTACTTGCAGAAAGAACTGAACTAACGCAAATACCACAGCTATAAAGATCAAACAGCTCCGCACAGAAACCTGAAATAATCCCATACACCAGAGATGCAACGGAGCATGATAAAGTCAGTTGTGATTCCCACTGGCACCGTGTAAGTCTCGATAGGACTATTTTAGTGAAACCATAGGAAATGAAAAGGCACAAAGTATATGATAAGGTCACTATATGCTGTTGAGCACCACAGACACAATATTTGAGTCCCTATGGGGAAGTAGCAAGAGGTTTACATGGGTTGAAGGCTGTTACGAAGTGCAAGGGATGGGGAAAAACATGGATAAAACCTGCATGAAGCCTCAGTGTGCCAAAACGGATTTTCAGGCTGAGTAAACAGCTGGAGGATGCTGACTTCAAAGGAAGGGCATTATGAAAAAAAAAAAAGAAAAAGAAGTGCACATATTTCATTCTTCAAGGTCATTGATTGCAGCTTTGTAAAACTTTACAGACCGTTAGCTATTATTACTGTAACCCAAACATAAATTAACCTGCAGGGCAATTTATATGAAAATAACTGTAATATGATGGTAACAAGGACTTTATTTCTGATTTGTAGCTGTTTGGACCTTAAGATAACACACAAGTTAGGCTGATGGCAAGGCTTAAATTCTTATGTAAGATGACATGTATGGTAGACTAATATGCTAATGTATGCCAGCAGTGTCAGAGAGAACCCACTGGTTGAAGGTGTTTACCTCCAACCCAGCGCAGTTGTGGCACATGCATCTGAATTCATTAAAGAAATGTAGTGCAGGAGAGTGGAGCTACCTGGGAATGTTGGTTAAAGGTCAACCCAGAAGGCTTTTATTGTGTGTGGAAAACATGTATGTTGTGGTTAATTGGCATCAGGATGAATGAGGCTCTCTTAATGTCATTCTTCTAATTGTCTGCTTGTGGATAAGAAATACAAAAATCTGTTCATCTTTGAAGAAGAAATGAAAATATTTGAATAACATGAGAAGATGCTTCTTTTGTAGCTGCTGGTGAGGAGGTGGTAGAGGTGAGCAGCCCCAGCATTAAGTGCATTTCAAGCTGTAAAAAACAGACCTGTCCTCTGTGCTTTCAAGCTTTTCAGAGACCCACCTCAAGCTCTCTTAGCAGAGAGAGTGTTGCATTTTTGTTGCAAGTAGCAGACCTATATGAGGGATACTCAGCAAAATGAAAGAGAATCACTATCACGGTGCAGTGATGAAAAGTATTTTTCAGCACACAATGTCCCTCCATTTCGTTGGGAGACTCACATGTGGAGTTTCCTCTCTCGCTCTCATGCTGACACCCTTTACTCCCCCCTGCTCTCACACTCACAGATCAGCTACACACACAGAAAATTGAATCGACAACTCGTTAAATGACATAATCCTTTATCGTGCCATCTCATTCTCCTACTTAATAATGACACTGAATTTTTAAAAATGGAAACAATGAATCTTGGATTACGATACTGTTGAATATGTAATTTTCTTACACATGATGGAGAAGTTTTCTGCCCTCATCTGTGGCACGAGAGAGTATATCACAAAGAGGACTCATTTGTAGCTCATAAGGCAAAGTATGAAATTCTGGTTTAATAATTGATGTAGGAAGAAGCAATTGCCTGATGGTTTAAAGAGTGCACAACATGTGAAAGAAGAACAGTTCTCTCTGACAATATATTTTTACTTACAGTATGGGGGTAAAAATAAAGGCAAAATAAAAAATCACCTTCACACTCGCTCACTTTCCTGGAGTCATACTGTTTTTTCACCTATAGAAAATCAAACTGAAATCCACCCAAACCCTAACCCCCCCTACCTGCTAGGAAATCATTGTGATCCGTCAGGGACAAGTGGAGTAATGCTGAGAGTCAGGCGTATATAAGATTAGGGAAATATAAAAAAAAGAAATTAATTCTGAATCACGCATCATTGACCTGAACACACACGTAGCCTACACCCACAAACACATACTGACATTGAGTTATGTTGTAAATGACAGTTTGCTGAACCCCTTTCCAGTACAGTCTTATATAGAAAAGTATGTAAAGAGTTTAGAATGATTTTTCTTACAGGTTGAGCATACAAGGGTAACCAACTGACTAATGAAAAGTTGAGGTTGACAGTGTACTCGACTATTAGGGGGAAGTCCTACCAAAACTACAAATAATTTGGGGCTGTATATTTGCCACCATTAGTGCAGTGGGGAAGGAATGCTTCACAGGCTTAGCAACAGTAACTATGGAGGGCAGAGCTAAGCTAACGTGCAAAATCAAGATTTATTAGTCATTGTGAAGTGTGAACCTATCATAACGTCACCCATTGGTTTGTGGACTATCGTTTGGAAGCCTCTAGTTCGGCATTATAGCAATTATCATGTCCTTTTTTGGAGCCAGCAGCGGTGACGTTTAGCTGAGCTCATTGGGTGCGCTTAGTTCCAAATAAATGATATATAATTAATAATAAATCACGGGAGGAGTAGGGTCATTTCTCCATGAGACTCAATACTATGAGACTTTTTTTTGCAGCCCATGGAGCTACCCCCTGGTGGCCATTACAAAGAATGCTTAAGACACTTCCACGTTGGCTTCATTTCAGACTCGGCAGCTCTGTCTACTAATTGAGCTCAACTTGAGCTGCACAGCTATACACACATCTGACATGCCTTACTCTCCATGACCATAAACCAAACACACCTTCCCAATTTGGAGGTGTATTTAAGCTGCGAAATTTCCCATCTCTCCCTCTGCTCTCTCAACACCACTGCTGCCCTACATTGGTATTGCTGCCTGTTCTTTAAGCCCACCACCACCTCAGCATTCACCTGCAGGCTCCAGCTTTAAGTTATTGCTCATCACTCCCCAGTATCTCTATGTAAACATATCTGCGGGGAGAGATGAGGTCGGAGCCTAGACGCCAAACTCTTATTATGTTGTACTGATACAATAAACATCTTAAACGTGAGACTGAAATTGTATAGAAGCCAGTATAGAGGTTCCCAATATAGACACATACAGTAGCTTCCATTCCTCACAGCATTGTTATTCACAACAGGGACCATACAGCAAACACTGTAATGTAGGTCTGGCAATGCATGACAGAAAATACAGTGTGCAAGACTGAGCTGAAACTGAGAGAACAAGAAGCAGATGTATACAGTTGAGTTACATCTTCATTCCACAATTTCAGAATATGTCGTTACTCCGAGAAAGCCCTGTACACCCAAAATATCACTTTTTCTGGACAAGACATAACATAGCAAACACACTAAAGCACTTGAGTTAATTTAACACAGCGTCATTACATTGTTTGTCCTGCAGACAGACTCTACTGTTTAAAGCACTGCGCAGCACGAGAGTTGGCTTAGTAGCAGCATCACAGCTGAGCATATGGCAGGGCAGCGTCTGTGAAGACTTTCTCATTCAGCCAATAACACCCTACCTGACTGCACATTTTTGTCGCTACTCTTTGAAATATCACAGAAAGCTATAATCATGTGGTGGGAATGTAAATATTATAATAATGACCAGGATATACTGGAAGTGCAATGAGGGAGATGAGATGAACACTGACACTGAAATCATTAATTGGCCCAACTGCTGACATGAGAGAGAGCTAACTTCTGTCAGGCAAACTAGATTTCCAAAACTCGGTGAGAAGCTGTCAGGCAGTGTGACAGCAGGTAAAGTGCAACATTACTTACAACTCCTACGACTATTATAACCGAACCAATATGTTAAAGATTTCCCCTCTCTGATAAACAGGGCTGTACTTGAAACTTTTTTCTGGCGATGTGAACTAAAATCAAATGTAATTTGCTCAATATAGCCGAAATAATCGCAGCGATGTAAAACATAACTTGTCTAGTGTACTTAGTGGATAACTGTCCATCTGGTCCCTGCGGTATGGGTCGCCGCCTCCAATTTATTTTCGGGACATGGAAAAAAGTTTTGAGTACAGCCCTGTTTATCAGAGAGGGGAAATCTTCAGACTGTACAAAACACTGCGTGTCTTGGGTGTCGCAACGCAACAGGTCCCACTCCGTGCAACACAGGCACTCCTCTTCGGTGGCCATAGCTTCACAATGCCCGCAGGTACACCACCAGTTTCCCGAAGTACGAGGCTGTGTTGCGGCATTGACTACTGGTAGCTCTCTCTCTCGTAGCCCTTTCACGGAGCTCCCGCAGCTCTTCGTCTGTATATTCCGGCTTGAAAAGATAAGGACGTCCATCAAACTGAAAGGGTTCGTTGTCGATGTCTTCAAATTCGGTTGAATAATCCGCCATCTCTTTAGTGTGTATCCTGTGAAAGCACTAGTCTCTGTTGCATTCAGTGCTTCTCTTACGTGCTCAGTGCTTTCTTCCGGCAACAACGTTTCACACGAGATGGTGCGTTCACTTCACATCTCAGAGAGTTCGACTGGTCGCGACTGTTTTCCCAAGATGGCACCCGCCTGTATACGTGAACGCTACTGTTGTTCTAAACTATCTTTTTAATAAACTGTCTGTACACTTACAAAGTTCTCAATGCTTCAGTTTACATGTAGGGACCCTCATTATGCTACCGTGTAAGTGTGGTGCTATCTTGAGCCTTGTTAGTGTTATAGAAATAGCTTTTTTTTCACTTTACCCTATGCCCCATTGACTAGCATTATATGGTAATTAGCAGTTTGTGCTCAAACGTTCGATTGGACTGAAAACATATCCCAGAGAACGGACAAACTCGATACACATGTGTTATTAACCCCAGGTTCATTTTGCACCGGAATTGTCCTTTAATATGCCACAGCAGAAGGAATATACAAGGCAAACTGTAGACAGTGTTCTCAAA